TTATTTCCGGCGATAATTCTGCAAGTTTCTGTACCTGACTTTTTCTTCGGGCTTTTTGAAGAAACTTATTCATTATCAATAACATTGTTGACAGTTATTAAACTACGAATTTTTATACCAATACCTAATTATACGATCACTTCTCATTTATTCTCTGTTACATTGCCTTTTCGTTCACACGTTATTTGAAAAGGAAATTTACAAATTCGTACAAAGGAATTTACAAAAATGTAAATATGCATTCGTCTTTTTACGTTACACATAATTTGCCTACATTTACGTTTCATTCATTAATCTCTTTAAATAACAAACGTCAGATGATAAAAAGTATGATTTTATTTGTTACGTCTTGTTTATTTGCTATTATTATACGCGGTTTCCTGCGATGCATGGTGACCTACTTGTTCGGAGTTTCGTAGTACAAGCGTAGCGCGTAGCCACCGCTGGCGCGGGAACTCGGCTGGCAAACTCGCGCTCTGATTGATTAGTCGCGGTTTTTCGTTAATATCTCGGTAATGAAGCCTCAGTTTACATTGTTGCTAAGGAAAAAGTTGTTCCAATTCACCCCCCGAGTGCCCCATTTCCGGGTCGGAGGACATTTTTGGGACACCCTGTATATATATTATAGTCTCATTGCTTGTGTCAGGGTAGACACACAGCTCACGGCCCACGGAGTTCGTCCACTTAATAAGTGTTAATGACTTACTTGTGGCTGAGGTACACAGGTTAGATCTATGATGTCCCCCAATAAGTCAGGATCCATTACTCTAATGCCTGGAAGAATTGTCGAGCCAATTGGAAGATCCTCCTCGGCGACGGCTTCGTACGGTACACCCAGAAAATGTGGGGGATTGTCATTCTCGTCGAGAACGATCACGAATGCATCAACACCAACTATGTTTGGTTGCTGACCCGCAGGTACTTCGTCTTCCAACGTGACACGGAAGCGTACTGTGTCGTTCTCCTGAAACAGAAAGAAATTTCAAGATAAGGGAAACATAATCGAGGTACAAAATACAAAAGTACTTGTACGTGTAAGAGTATGCATAGGTAAATATTTACAAAAGGGAACCGAGCTCCGATGAAATTGACCTTGAAATATGTTGTCAAGGTCAACATTCTGAACACATTCTTCCTATGTACCCGTCGCTCGGGCTTAGTTTTTTAGATATTCGCAAAAAACTTTAGTGAAACTTGGGTTTCTAGTATACTTCATGAATTTAAAATATTCGATTTTCATAAATTAGGTTGTCAAGAAAGAGTAATCAGAATTGATTGGAGGTGAGTATCTTTGGTGGGGAGGGGGTTTGTCCCTCCTCCAAAACAATAGACGAATTTTGAGGACGTTGGTGAAAACCTCCCACTTCAACGAACGAATTAAACAAAATTGTGTCATCATAACAGTTGACAGGTACAGAAAGTAAGAAGTAAACGAAATAATGTAAACATATAGGAAAGGTATTCTTTCTGCTGTTTCGTTTCAGCTCTCAAACAAAACACGACGGTTTCATATATTTGGCCTGCAGTTAGTTTCGTACGCGCAATAAACCTGGAACCCGAACCTGGTCCTTACCGCTGACTCGCAGAACAATACTGCCACAAACCCTTACCTCTGCGAGATAATCACAAAACTTCAACGCAGTCAAGTCAAACCATGACGACGTATTTAAGTGTTTTCTCGGGTCCGCTTTGCCTTGAAGGGAAGGTTTTCGTCATCACGTCAACCCAGGAAACCCTAAGGATATTTCTCCTTCACCAAGGCCCAATCAAATATAATTTGTAATTCAGAAACACTTTCGGCGAAACCTTCGGTAATCACGGTGAGATTACGAGTTCTCAACGCGCTTCAAATTGTCTCGAATCATCGTTCGATCGACCAGCTACGACAAGTCTGTCTCGAATCATTGCTCAAGCAGTCGGGTTCCAACAGGCGATCAATTGTCCGAAGGCCTCGTTTTTAAAGTCACGTAAATCATTCGAAAAGTTGGTCACGTCCTATGCACAGATCGTAAGTTGCCGACGAATTAAATTAAGTGGAAGGAATACATCGAGGTAGAGTGAGATACAGCGATAAGGCGTATCGTTCAGTATGTAGGTACTCGGCAACTTACGATCTCTGCACAGTACAATAATTTGTAAACTAACTTTACAAACGTTCGGTTACTAACTTTACAACACTTTATAAAATTTCGGTTGAAAAATAACGATCGGACAACATTCGTCAAAGTTTACGAACATTCGATAATCGTCCTACATCCATACGACACTTCGGGAGCAACCACTGCTCTATCTTTTGAACCAATTGCAACCATTGTAAGTGGAAACCGTGCGCGCACCATGACGGTTAAGTCGGGGGTTTACGACCCCAAGAGGATTTATAAGAGAATCCGTGTGTTTAGGTTTACGACAATGTAAGTCGAATTGTAATATCGTCCAATCTACAATTTGACGAATGAAAGATGATACTATGAATTGATATTACTAGTTTTATGTATTAAAATAGGCATACGAAACTATCTTAATGATTAAATTATTAAATTTCGTAGCTAATACTATTTCTGTTTCTTCTTTACAATTGTACCTATAGGTAGAAAATGCAAAAAATGCAAAAAATGTATTCCAGTGGAATTTTACTATTGTCAGAATTTGTTAGTTGCTCCTTTCTACAATTGAAGTGTACTGCTTAATATTTGCTGTAGCCGTGTGAAAAATATTGGACTACGCATGAAGAATACAAATTGAACAATATTCTATGAAAGCTAATCACATATGAAACAAAAATTAAGCAATTAATATTGTTTCCACTACATTAGAGTTTTGGTATAAATTAATATGAATATTCGTGTTAGCAAATAAAATGAACATACTTCTTCTGTATAAAATAACGTTCCTCGTCAAGTAGTTATTTTTCGCACGTTGTACGTACACGTACAATCATGCACAATTAGGTCAACGTCACTTAAGATTCGCTTCTTCGTCTAAACCCGGTGAGCTATTCTGACTTGCTCGGTACGTATACACAAAAGAGCAAGGTGCACGCTCTGAGGTACGAAGTTACTACGAAAGTTTCACTATCCCTCAAAGCAGCCTTTGGATTTGGTCGCGAACGTGCTCAAGCTCGAACGTGAGAAACCAGAGTTAGGTACCTCCTCTTTTACGAGATCGATCATTTACGAACCGATCTTGACTTCTGAAGCGGATATCGTTCGTTCTTTTGCTGTGAAATGGAAGTTTGAACAAGTCGTTTAACTTCTTAGCAAATTTGCTTTCGATAATGTTTCTGCGGCATAATTCTCACGTACATGTATGTATTTAGATGGAATTCCGAGTACTTACTTAGGATTAGATAATAAGAACTTTCGATTAGACAAGAAGAACGTTCCGAAAAACCATGTTGACTGGACTTGACTCTAGACATAACACAACTAATAAACAACATTGGAAACCTCACAACGCTTATATGGTCATTTAAGCATAATTAATAAAAAATCTGCCAAACAGTATGGTCTGTCGCTGGATGGACGGACCACTTTGTCGTATTTATTAGACACGTTTTCGAACGGCGTACATAAGTGAATAAAATATATTGACGGAGCCGTGACTCACTAGTGATTTTCCTGAAATAATTAATTACTGGTAAATACTTGAAACAATCTAGTAAATCCTAGTCAAGGATTTGACCTATGAACAGTGATTCTGCTACAATTGATAAAAATGTAAACGCTTGTGTAAAGAATTTGGTGCGCTACAAAAACATATTTATTTCATCGCTTTTTCGTCTTGTACTTTGCTATTTTAGAGAGGGATAAAATGATATTTATAGGTTTATAGGAATTCTTTAACACGTTGACGCTGCATGGGCCATTGGTAGCCCACGTTGGACTTTCCATTCAGTTCGTTATAGTTATTCTGAATAAAAGGAAATATGATGATGAAATGCTTCATAATATCGTCAGAGTTGATGCATAATTATCATGTACAATGCAATTACTATACCGTGGGCTAGGCTTGGGAATTAACTGCTCTTTTCGGTCGATTTTCAAAAGCAACGCCCTCTTTCACCTGCCACGCGTGTTTTCCAGCATAACGTAGCATATAAACGATTAACCCTCCGAGCACGGAAACATGGTCACCGGTCCCTATGTCATTTCTGACCCCACACCGATATTCTACTACTACACAGCGACGGCGAGCTTCGAGCTCGAGACCCTCACCGATATTACTACGCAGTGGCGGTTGCTCGAGCTCGAGCTCGCGCCACCATCACCATGTATACAATGTAATGATAAGCTGGTTCCACATTACATTTGGATTTTCGTGGTTCTTATTACACTAACTAGAATAAAAATCTCGTGAATTATAAAACACATTGTATTTATTAGTCGATACTGCTGCAGCGTCTTGGCCCGGTCGGTTGCATGTAAACAAACATCGGTCGCTATACGATTTACGTGACAGCTCCGTCATTGCGTGCGTGTCGCTCTCGAGACCGTGTGTCGCCACTCCTGATTCTGTCTCTGTGTACGTGTCGCTCTCGTGAACGCGTGACCCAGGGACCGTGCTCGGAGGGTTAAGCAATGCGTAGTTTCGGCTGCCAATTGTCGGTGAGACCACACACGTGTGTTCGTAAGAACCAAATGAACGCTAGGGCCACGAGTGAACGATCGCGAAGGGCAGTCTGTCGTAGTACGCCGCGCGGGTAGGTATAGATGTGCTGTATTACACATTCTCTTTTATTATTAAACATTGTGTTGCGTAAACGTGTAGTGAACGATACCACGGAAGCTCGACCAGTAGACTCGCGCTCTGATTGTTCAGGGTTTTTCGTTAATATCTCGTTAAAAAAGTCTTGAATGACATTTTTGCTAAGGAAAAAGTTGTTTCAAATCATCACAGGAATCCCTCACTTCCGGGAGTCGAAGCTATTTTGGGACATCCTGTATACAAAGTATTACTAAAAATGTGGAACATTTTCAGAGGTTGGATTCTATACGCAAAACTCAGCGCTGAGCAGCGTAGGGGTACCTCACGCGACTGTTTCCCCTTCCCACCTTTCTTTCGCACCGTGTGCCTTCGTAGAAACAAAGAAGCCCAGACTCTTGTCTATGTCACTCCATGGTAACGGCGGACGGTGGTGGGGATAAGTTTTAGCTCCCTGGAGCAAACTTTGCTTACCGCTGAGCCAAACTAAAGCCCGCAGCATACGGTGTTTGTTTTCTTGCTGGATCGCTTGCTTGGAGCTGTGCAAGCTGCCGTGCAGGGAGCGGTGCTGGCAAATTATGTTACAGTAGGCTTTAAACGCGTAGCACACGATGCTTGTTTTCTTGCTGGATCGCTCGAATCGCTTGCTTGGAGCTGTGCATGCAGCCGTGCAGGTAGTGGTGTTGGCAAATGACGTCACCGCAGGCTACCCTGCAAGTTTCGCTGCTGGATGTCGTGATTGCTCCCGTACTATTTTTCCTGCAAGTTTTCTAGCTGGCTCGCATGAATCGCTTGATATATACTTGAGTTTCTCAACCAAAATCGTTGTGATCTACTTCACATCAGTGTAATTACGGATCCTTGTTAACAAAAGTTAAATATGAAGCGATGACAGAATTTGACGCACTTTTAAAATGAGTGGGAGTTAAAGGGTTAATTGGTTCAAAGTGTGATTACCTACGTGATGCCGCCTATTTTGGTGTTTGAGGGGTTGAGTTTTTTTGTATTATAAAGTACATAACATATGGTAAAAACGTTGTGACCTTTATTTATACATACTCAGGCATATGAACAAAATTTTTTCTTTCAAATTCCTGTAGTGGTAAAATTTTTTAGATGCCACTCATTGCCAGTTTTGTGTTGGCTATCGTCAATGCTTTTTTTTTGCTGCTGTTGCAAAAATATATAAAACAAAAAAGTTATACAGCGCATGAGTATGAAAGACCACGAGACTACATCACGTGACAGCCCGCTGTGTTGCGATTGGCTATTCATGTGTTCCCTGTGTGGCGGGGAACAGAATACGCCCACGGTAATCCCTGCCTGTCGTAAGAGGCGACTAAAAGGGACCGTTGGGATCGCGGGACTGTGGCACCCGCGGTCCGGTGGGGGGGGGGGAGCTCTCCGCTTCCCCCACAACAGAGAGGGCGCTCCGCCGCCAACTGGCGGAGCCGGCGCTGGGGAGGTACCGGTTGTGTTCGCAAGAGATCCCGGTGCCTCCCCGCATAGCGCCGAGCCCGGCCACCGTGAGGGTTTAGTGGGTATTCCCCCTGGGCTTCGCCCTATTGGGGGTGAGTCCCACACTACCCCCGCCCACTCCTCCCACATTGGGGGATGGCGAGGGTGTGCGTAAATGCATTCCCTCACGTAAAAAAAAAAAAAAAAAAAAAATGGCTATTCATGCGAGCCAGCTAGAAAACTTGCAGGGCATGTTTCTAGTGATGTCATATGCCAGCACCGCTCCGTGCACGGCAGCATACACAGCTCCAAGCAAGCGAGCCTGCAAGAAAACAAACACTATGTGCTGCGGGCTTCACAAGGGAATATTCCCAGAGCGAAAATTTTGTTTCATTCAAATTTCCATGAATTTACGGAAAATTAAAAACTATTGAACACGTCATTTTCTGCTTTCGCTGATAAAGAGCTGAAAGAGCTTTCGTTTTAAAGGAGTTAAATTGATTGCCGTATCGAAAAATGTTCGAAAGAAAAGTTACTTAGTTTTTAACGTAAAATTA